ACAACCTGAAGGGTTTGTTACACCTAGACATGAGAGAAAGGTGTGTAGATTGATCAAATCCTTGTACGGACTGAAACAAGCTCCGAAACAATGGCATTTGAAATTTGATGACGTGATGTTGTCAAATGGTTTCAAAATCAACGAATGTAACAAATGTGTTTATGTTAAGAGTACATCAAATACATTTGTGATTGTATGTCTATATGTAGACAATATGTTGATCATGGGGAGTAGCCATGAAGTGATCATGGATACGAAAAGAATATTGAAAAGAAATTTCGACATGAAAGATATGGGTTTGGCTGATGTTATTCTTGGAATAAGAATTATCAGAACCCAACATGGAATTATCTTGTCACAATCTCATTATGTAGAGAAAGTGCTCAAGAAATTTGATACCTATGACGGTGCACAGTCTAGGTGTAAAACACCCCTTGATCTTAGTATAAATCTGGTAGCCAATAAAGGTCAACCAGTGGCTCAGTTGGAATATTCACGGATAATAGGGAGTCTGATGTACTTAACGAATTGTACACGACCAGACTTGGCCTACCCGGTGAATAAGTTGAGCAGATTTACGAGCAACCCCAATTATGAGCACTGGAATGCTTTGAGAAGGGTACTTAAGTACTTGAGGTACACCCTTGAATACAGGCTAAAATATTCGAGATATCCAACTGTACTTGAAGGGTACTATGATGCAAGCTGGTTATCAAAATCGAGGGATTCTCACTTCACTAGCGGATATGTTTTCTGCATTGGAGGAGGTGCAGTTTCGTGGAAATCCACAAAACAAACGTGTATAGCTCGTTCAATGATGGAATCAGAGTTTGTCGCTTTAGATAAAGCTGGTGGAGAAGCCGAGTGGCTTAGAAATTTTTTATCCGATATTTCATGTTGGGATAAGACTTTACCGCCTGTGATGATTCACTGTGATAGCCAAGCTGCTATAGGTAGGGCGCAAAGTAATTTGTATAACGGTAAATCTAGACATATTCGTCGTAGACATAATACCGTACGCCAATTGATCTCAAATGGTGTTATTTCCATTGACTATGTGAATTCTAAGAAAAATTTGGCTGATCCTTTGACGAAAGGATTGAATAGAGATCAATTGGGAGTTTTACTAGAGGGAATGGGTTTAAAAATCCACAATGTAAAGAATGATCATAGTGTTAACCCTACCATGGTGAGTGGAGATCCCACGAACTTGGTTCAAAGGGAAAACTAAGCTATGAAAATTCAGTTGAGCACTTGGAACATATGAATGTCCAAAGCTATTCCCTATAGTACTCCAAGTGCAAGATGACCTGTTGATTGTGGTGAGGGCAAGTCATGCGGACTTTTAATGAATCCCTAACCTTGTAAAGGTGGACTATGGCAGAATACTCTTGATAGGGAGGTCACCTATATAAAGGTGAAGAGAAGAAGAAAAATGAAGAAGAAGAAGAAGGGAAGGAGAAAGGAGTTCTGTGGTGTTTTTACGGGCTAGGGTTCATCCCCAGAAGGGGAGAATGATTTTAATCGAGGCCCCGTACATGTATATATAGTCCCGCATGAGTCACGGCGTGAAGGAACGTCGCGTGGCGCGAGGCATCAAGTTGCCGCAGCGCGAGAAGTGTGCCGCGGCGTGACTAGACGTGGCCAGTCAACGGGTCCGGGCCTGGCCCAGCCCGGCCCGCCGGGTCGACGGTCCGCTTAGACGAGGCCCGGTACCGAACCTTACATAGGGGCGGTCCGAGACCGGTTCTGAGCCCGGACCCGCCGGTTCGTCGACCCGCCGGTTTTCCGCCGGTTCGGTCCGGTTCCGGCGGTTCGTGGGTTTTCTTTTTTTTGGTAAATAAAAAATATGTTGAGATGTATTACCCGGCTGTTAAAATTTAAAATTAGATCCGCTTGTCTAGGCAATTTATCAAACACCTTTGCTTCAACCAGGGCAAAGGAGATACGCTTTCGTTGCGCAGTCAACCCATCCGTCACCTTAGGAACCCTAATAGTGCTTACCGGTTTTGATTGATCGGCGGTTCCGTCAGTATATTGTTATTTTGTAGGACTTGCGAAATTCAATTTTACTAGCATTTTGAAATGTTTCTAAAAATTGAATAAGTGCATTACAGTTCTCTTAATCTCTTGTTGACACTCGGACATCACAGTCCTTACGGTTTGAATGGTTAAAAAAATTCTGCAATTATGTCATAAACGGAACCATGTCACTCAACATTTTAAATGTTGAGTTTCACAGGTTAAGAACGTCGGGTTGAAATTTTTTAGGTTCACCCTTGATCTTTACAAAATCGTCCCCATGCTTTCATTTCATGGGGACGTTTATGTAAATAATTAACAGCGTCCCTAATTGGCGTGACCGAATCTTTAAAAGCATGATAACCAGCTTGTACACAGAGATTTAAGACATGACATATACAACGAATATGAAAAAATCTTTCGCCGCAAATTGGAGTGCAAATATCGGTAAGTTCACGTATAGATGCAGTATTTGCAGTAGAATTATCAAACGAAATGGAAAATACTTTTTTGCCTATTTGATATTTATCCAAAACTTTTGAAATTAAACGAGCAATATTAGAAGCAGTGTGTCGTTCATGAAATGCAACATAAGCAATTAAATGTTTTTGTAAACTCCAATTTTCATCTATCCAATGACAAGTAATTCCCAAATAGAAATTATTTTGCCAATGATCAGACCAGATATCAGCACAAATGGATACTCTATGATTTAAAGATTTAAAAGTTTCTTGCAAAATTACTTTCTTTTTCCGCCACTATTTTTCGAATATCGCGAGTAAGAGTAGTACGTGGAACCCGGTGGGCAGCCGGATTCATAGCCATTTGAGCAAAATGTTCATATAAATCACTATCACCAAAGCTCAACGGAAGAGATGAAGCAGAAACAAATTCAACTAAATGGCGTCGATGATTTTCATGTGAGTACTGAAATAAAGATGGCGTACCTGTACCAATCGTGGCAGATGCAGCGCTACTACTCGGGAATTGCGTCTGTGCCCTGTCAATTCCCAATTTTGTCGGATGATTCCTCTCTAAGTGCCGTTTCAACGATCTGTACCCGTCGCCTTTTTTGAAATGGTACCGCTTCTTCTCGTTCGCCGGGCAGTAGTTGCAAACAACATAAAAGTGATTATCACCTCTTGTCGGATTGACCACCTTCGTGTAATGTTGTTTGAATATGGCAGATGCCGATCTGCCACGAGCGAAGACAGAGGCCGGGTCCGGGACCTCCGAGTCCGACTGTTGATGCTGCGTCGGTTGCTGAACCTCCGGCGGGAACTCTCCAAATATATCATCGAAATGGTCGTGATACGGCTGCTGTTGCTCTTGTTGCTTAGGCTGAACTGAGCCAAACATGCGCTCGATTGTCGCCTCATCAATGTCATCGGCGACACCGAGAATATCCACATGTATTGATGGACTCGCAAATTCCGGCAATGGAGGTCTCGACGAAGACGTGCCGGTGCCGATATTTCTACGTTTTTGTCCGAAATTCGAACCACGACCACCACGAGAGCTCGACATTTTATAATTTAAAGAATAAAAAATAAATTGGGGAAAATTATATAGAATATGATGAAATAAAAATAAATGGGGAGATGTGGTATTTTTTTTTCGGATTTTTTTTTTTTTTTACAAACCGAACACAAAACTAAAAATGATTAACCGAGCAATGAAAACCGAACACTAAGAGATAGATAATAGAACACTAGAACTTAGAGAGTAGAGTTAGAGACTTAGAGAGAAGGGAGAGAGAGTGA